GTAAAAATCGACGCGTTTCAGAAAGGCGGGGCATAGAGGAGAAACAATAATGTACAGTATGTGGAAAATAATGTGTTTTTTTTACTTTAAATCGCATAAACACATTTCATTACACCAAATACACAAAATAATGTTATTTTTAGCAACATCATATGACCCCTTAAATTGAAACAGAAATGTTTTGAAATATTAGTACACTGTATTTGTTTTTCAAATAAATGCAGCCTTGCTGAGAAAAATAACAAACAAACAAACACACACAAACAAACAAATAAATAAATAAATAAATATTGGTGCTGTCAATCCATTAAAAAAAAAATATTAATTGAATATAAAATAATTATTCTGTAATTAATAACAATCACACCTAACATGACACTTTGTGATTATAACTATATTTTCACACTGAATCTCCAAATTAACATATAAACAACATAAAGTTGGCATATTTAAAAAAAAATTTTAATTACTTATTTCTTACTAAGATTATTATTTTTAATTTTTTATTATTTTTTTTTAATTTTATTTTAATTTTTAATATTTGTTTACTTAACAAGGGCAAGTATATCCAGTATTGATACTGATACAGTATTGATTTTTTTTTTTGTGGATAAATTTAGTAAATATATAGGCATATACCATAAAATTAGTTTATTATATTATATTATATTATATTATATTATATTATATTATATTATATTATATTATATTATATTATATTATATTATATTATATTATATTATATTATATTATATTATATTATATTATATTATATTATATTATATTATATTATATTATATTATATTATATTATATTATATTATATTATATTATATTATCCATGTATTAATTTTTGTGTACTTTGGTGACTAGAAACGTTCCTAAACATATATTTTATGAAACACAACATTGCATCAGATATTCAGAAATATATAGGTGAGATTATATAGATGAGCATCAGTGATTAGCAAGCGCTCGGCTCTTGTGTTGACATTGCTGTGTCTGTCCTGAGGTTATCAGCTAATATCTTGCAGCTCAGCTTCATGTATCAGACGCTCCACTCACAATCACTCATGCGGAAATATAATTAACTTGGCTGTGTTGCAAAATCAGTACCTTTCATCTCTAAGTATCACCTCAGACTGCAAACAAATGCCAACATAAGGCCATAGTAAATGCCAAGTATGTAAGTTTCCTCCATTCGAGGCTAGACGTCAAGCAGAGGTTATAAAGGAGCCATGCACAATTTACACTACAAGGTGACTAAACAGTATTCAAGCTCAGAAACAGCAACGGTCTCATGAATAATTGATCATACTGATATTTTTTTTCTGTGGTTTTAACTGTTGCTAAAAATTCCCCCACAATGCCTTGAGACATCAGAAGAGAGGGTTGACAGTGCATGTCAAAGAAATGAACAGGATGTTGCACGCAAACCAATGCACTAGGGAATGTTACGCACTCAGACATCGGACGATCCATACAAGTAGCACGTAAACGAAGATACGGATGTTCCCGGAGGCGCATTTGTTGTTTTATTTATAGTTTTTGCTGTCAGAGAATAAACAACCCTCAAAAACTTAAGCAATCAATTAAGTTGCAACTCACTTGATGAAATATTGATCGAATTTGTGTGCAACCGGGGTGTCTGTGACCCCAGAAAAGTGTTTGATGCTGACGTCATACACAATCGGTGGGACTCCGTTCAAAAGTCTGCCAGTTAAAGAAGCTGACAAGGAAGAATTGACACGCCAACGATTGGTGCTTCACTCGGCTATTGATCCCAAAATCAAAGCTTCTGCTTTCCATGACGTTGAGAAACGAGATCAGTTAAAAGTTCGATGGGGCAAAGTGAAATGCAAAGTTAAGATGGATTGAGTTGTTTATTCTCCTGTTTCAATGCTTGAAGCTGTGGATCAAATCCAGCTGTCAGGTGTCATCCTCTGTGATACTACGCAGGTGTAAGCAGACCTCAGACTAACATATCAACATATAGATCATCAGGCCTCTCTGAACAGTAGCTAAGTGAGTAAACCAATAGTTTGTTTTAATACATGAATACTTTTATTTAGCAAAGAAGCACTAAATTGATCAAAAGTGACAGTAAAGA